CTTAAAGAGATGGAGTCTCACTCTGTCACCCAGGCTGGAGTGCAGTGGTACAATCTCGGCTCACTGCAACCTCCACCCTCCAGGTTCAAGCGATTCTCCTGCCTCAGCCTCCTGAGTAGCTGGGATTACAGGTGCTGGCCACCACGCCTGGCTTATTTTTTGTATTTTTAGTAGAGATGGTCCATGTTGGCCAGGCTAGTCTCAAACTTCTGACTTCAGGTGATCTGCCCATCTCGGCCTCCTAAAGTGCTGGCTTTACAGGCATGAGCCACTGCGCCTCGCCTCTGTATTTTTCTATTATTTATTTCCTTTATCTATGCTCTAATTGTTTCTGTTTCCTTCCTCCTGCTAGCTTCTCATTTAATTTACATTTCATTTTTCCGTTCCTCAAGGTGTAATGTTTGATTGTTGATTGGCGACTTTTTTTTTTTTTTTTGAGACAGAGTTTCACCCTGGCTGGAGTGCAGAGGCACAGTCTCAGCTTGCTGCAACCTCACCTCCTGGGTTCAAGTGATTCTCATGCCTCAGCCTCCTGAGTAGCTGTGACTACAGGCACGCGCCACCACATCCAGCTAATTTTTGTATTTTTAGTAGAGATGAGGTTTTACCATGTTGGCCAGGATTTTCTCAAACTCCTGACCTCAGGTGATCCACTTGCCTTGGCCTCCCAAAGTGCTGGGATTACAGGCGTGAGCCACCACACCTAGCCAGATTGGAAATCTTTTAGTAAAGTAAGTGTTTACAGCTATAATTTCTGTCTTGGCACAGTTTTAGCAGCATCCCATAAGTTTTGAAGTGTTGTTTTGTTTTTATTCATCTCAAAATGTTTTATACTTTCCTTTGTGAGTTCTTCTTTGACTTATCAGTTTTTTAAGAATATATTGTTTATCTGGGTGCAGTGGCTCAAGTTTATAGACTGTAATCCCAGCATTTTGGGAGGCTGTGGTGGGAGGACTGCTTGAGGCCAGGAGTTTGAGATCAGCTCAGACAACAAAGCAAAACTCTACCTCTACCAAAAAATAAAAATAGGCTGGGTGCTGTGGCTCAAGCCTGTAATCCCAGTGCTTTGGGAGGCCAAGGTTGGTGGATCACAAGATCAGGAGTTCGAGACCAGCCTGGCCAACATAGTAAAACCCCATCTCTACTAAAAAAAATATATAGAAAAATTAGCCAGGCATGAGGGCATGCACTTGTAGTCCCAGCTACTCAGGAGACTGAGGCAGGAGAATCGCTGGAACCTGGGAGGTGGAGGTCAGTGAGCCCAGATCACGCCACTACACTCCAGCCTGGATGACAGAGCAAGACTCCATCTCAAAAATAAATAAGTAAAAATAAAAATTAAAAAAGCTGGCTGTGGTGACTTGAGCCTGTAGTTCTAGCTACTCAGGAGGCTGAGATGGGAGGATCGCTTGATCCCAGGAGTTGAGGGTTCAGTGAGCTATGATTATGCTGCCACACTCCAGCCTGAGTGACAGAGCAAGACCCTGTCTCAAAAAAAAAAAAAAATGTGTTGTTTAATTTCTATATGCTTGTGAACTTCTCAGTTTTCCTCATTATTGATTTCTAGCTTCACTGCATTGTGGTTGGTGAAGACACTTGTGTGATTTAGGTATTTTCTAAGGTATTGTTTTGTAGCCACACTTACTTTATGGCCTAACACATAATCTGTCCTGGAGAATGTTCACACACTTGAAAAGAGTCCACATTCTGCTATTGTTGGGTAAAATGTTTTATATGTCTGTTAGATCTACTTGGTTTAGTGTTGTTAAAGTCTTCTGTCATCTTATCAAACTTCTGTCTAGATGTTCTATTTACTATTGAATTACAGTACTAGAGTCTTCAACTATTATTGTAGAACTGTCTGTGGTCAGCTCTCCATAACCAGGGATTCCACATCCGCAGATTCAACCAACCATGGATCAAAAATATTTGTGAAAAAATTAAAATTAAAAGAATACAACATTAAAAAATACAAATAAAACCAATTATAGCATACCAACTATTTACATAGCATTTACATTTTATTAGGCATTATAAGTAATCTAGAGATTATTTAAAGTGTATAGGAGGATGTGTGTAGGTTATATGCAAATAGTACACCGCTTCCTATAAGGGATCTGAGTACTTGCAGAGTTTGTAATCCAACAGGGTTCCTGGAACAAATCCCCTGCATATTCAGAAGGACAGCCATATTTCTCTCCCTTCAGTTCTGTCAATGCTTGCTACATATATATTGGGCTTCTGTTGTCTGATCCATGTATGTTTATAGCTGTTATATCTTCTTGATAAATTGACCCTTTTATCAATATATGATGACTTTCTTTGTCTCTCGTAACAACTTTTTAAAAATTTTTTTTTTTTTTTTTTTTTAAAGCTGGGGTTTCACCATGATGGCCTGGCTGGTCTTGAACTCCTGACCTCAGGTGATCCACCCACCTCGGCCTCCCAAAGTGCTAGGATTACAGGCGTGAGCCACTGTGCCCGGCCTTTTTTTTTTTTTTTTTTTTTAAGAAACAGGGTTTTGCCCTGTTGCTTGGGTAGACATAAGTGCAAGGGCAGGATCATAGCTCACTGCAGCCTTGAGCTCCTGGGCTTAAGCAATTCTCCCACCTCAGCCTCCTAAGTAGCTGGAACTACAGGCCTGTGCCACCACACCTGCCTAATGTTTGTTTTTTGTGGATACAGGGTTTCACCATGTTGCTCAGGCTGGTCTTGAACTCCTGGACTTAAGCAATCCACCTGCCTTGGCTTCCCAAAATGCTGGAATTATAGGCATGAGCCACAGTGCCCAGCCAGATATAATTTTTTTATTTTTTGAGATGGAGTCTTGCTCTGTTGCCCAAGATGAAGTGCAATGGCGTGATCTTGGCTCACTGCAACTTCCACCTCCCAGGTTCAAGCGATTCTCCTGCCTCAACCTCCCAAGTAGCTGGGATTACAGTGCCTGCCACCACACCCAAATATATATTTTTAAATTTATAGTAGAGACAGGGTTTCACTATGTTGGCCAGGCTGGTCTCGAACTCCTGAACTCAGATGATCCGCCTGCCTTGGCCTCCCAAAGTGCTGGGGTTACAGGAATGAGCCACCGTGCCCAGCCTCAATATAATTCTTATATGCAAGAAGCATTTCTATTGTATAAAGGTACATGTTTGTTAATTAGGACCTTTTTGGTTGTATCAGAAACCTAATCCTTTCCATATTGTCATGTGGTTAGGAAGAAGAAAAAAAGGAACTTAATGCAAATAAACTTAAGAAAAACGATGGGAGTAGTGATTTATGGGTTGGTAACCAGGGAACTGAGGCAGAGCTATATCCAGAAGATCAGAGATGTCATCTGAACTCTCTTCCCCAGTCCCTCTGCTTTGCTTGGCCTTATTTTCAGTAGAGTCTCTACTCAGAGGCAAGATAACCCCTTCAATTTCAAGCTTCCTGGTCCTTATAGGCTTCTATCATGAAAATGAGAGTATATATTATAATACCAGAGTTTCAGGGAGGATGTTGATTAGCCTGATTTGAGCCACATTTCTATTCAATAGTCAGATGGGTGAAGTAGTCAGACCAGGTCCAATTGTCTTGTCTGTTAAACCACAAGACAAATTTGAATTAACATGGAATAGGGAAAGATGAGGTTCTTCAAAGGAAATGCTTCAAAGTAGAAAATAAAAATATGAAGCTACAAAGGTTCAGTGCCTTCCTAGTAGACTTTCTCTTGGTAGCTTTTTATCAAAAGATGAGTATTTAGGTTCTTGTCTCAACTAAGATGCTGCCTTTTTTTTTTTTTTTTTTTTTTTTTTGGTGGGGATGGGTAATAGGAGGGTAGAAATTACAAATAAGGGCTTTATAGCTATGCCTGTTCCAAATGCCCAGGAGAAGAAGAGGAAAAGCCCAATCGTTTTGGATTTGGGAAGAGACTGGAATTTGCTGATTCTGTGACCTTGAGCTTCATAGAGGAAATGAAAGACACTTCTGTAGAAAGGTAAGCATTTGCATTTGTCTGAATTCACAATTTAGCCTCATTAACATAGTCTCATGACCTGTAAGGACTACTTTTATATATTATTTTAAAATTACCCTCCAGACCTTAGTAAGAAGATGTGGAGGTTGTTACTAGGACTTTACGCCAACTCCATGACCACCATCTAACAGATTTATAAGCAAGCTGACTACCAAGTTTCACTTCATTCTTTTTCTCCTCAGTTTCCAGCATAGGGATACATTTTTCATGCTGAAAATTATTTGTAGGTAGTTCTTTTTATATACTTTGAGATTAAATACACATTTCTAAGTGATACTTGGAAAGCCAAATCCGTCATGGAAAACCACTGTTTAAAGCTGTTGCTGATTTCTTCACAAACAGGTTGAAGGCAGCCATGGCAAAGGGGTAGGGGGTCCTTTCCTGCAGTCTTGATTCTGAATTAGTCTAGTTGATGCCACTGAATCACAAAATGTAGCCCACTCAATACCCCTAAGCAGTTAACCACTATTAGCTCTATATAGAGTACCCTCAACAGGTTCATGTAATGGCAAGGTGATGTTGGAAAATGAGGGGGAAAAAATCAAACAGACTGTGCAGCAATTCTCTGCAGGTGGGGGGATTAGTATGTTTTAAGAAAGCAAATTCAGTCTTTTTTGTCTGTTTTGTATATTTCTTTTTAAAAATAGTAATATAAACTAGGCCAGGTGTGGTGGCTCACGCCTGTAATCCCAGCACTTTGGGAAGCTGAGGTGAGCAGATCATAAGGTCAAGAGATCAAGACCATCCTGGCCAACATGGTGAAACCCCATCTCTACTAAAAATACAAAAATTAGCTGGACATGGCGGTTCATGCCTGTAATCCCAGCTACTTGGGAGGCCAAGGCATGAGAATCGCTTGAACCCAAGAGGAGGCAGAGGTTGCAGTGAGCTGAGATAGTGCCACTGCACTCCAGCCTGGTGACAGAGCGAGACTCTGTCTCAAAAAAAAAAAAAAAAAAAAAACGATTAAGTAATGACTTCTCTGAGGTGGACTTACCTATTTGTAGTATTTGTTAAAATATCATTTTAGAGATTTTAGTCACACCAATTATTCTTCAAAACATCCACTGTCAGTAACTGAAATGTATTCCTACAAGAAATGTTAATTTTCCCTGTTATCATTCTTTACATAGCGTCTATTTGACTCAATAATGGAAGCCAGGCAAGGAAGAAAAGTGCAATACTATAATTTGCTGTACCTGCAAATGTATAGTGCAAATGTTTGGAAGGGTGGAGCCTCAACTAGTCTTTCCTAAGCACTGAAATAGAAGAGATGAAGCATATTGTGAGATGATGCTATACAAGGCCCTACAAGATGTGGGGAGCCGTAAAGCATTTGCCCCAGTGACTCATTGCAAGCTGCATGAAAGCAACACGGGACTCACACCCCAAGGTTGGTTTCTTTGTGTTGGGCCCTGTGCTAGATGCTGGGATAAAGATGACCTGCCTAGGCAGATGAGGCAAGCGTACAAGGTAATTCAAGACAAAGTGCTAGAGAACCTTGGAAAATGATTATTTAATGTGTCCTGGAAGTTCTAAGGACTTCCTGTGAAAATGAAATTCGCCTTCTTAGAGAAGGCAGCATATCTAAGAATAAACATACCAAAGCAGTCCTCCCAACCTCCTGAAGTGGGTCCTTCTCTCTGAGAGCGATAGGGAGCAAAAGGCAGTAAAACTGCAGCTTCTTCCTCCAAGAAGAAGCTAATGACTCAAAGATATACAAATGGCAAACAAGTATATGAAAAGATCATCAACATAACTGATCATCACAGAAATGCAAATCAAAACAGATATCATCTCACCCAAGTTAAAATGGCTTTTATCCAAAAGACAGGCAATAACAAATGTTGGCAAGGATGTGGAGAGAAGGGAACCCTCATATACTGTTGATGGGAATGTAAATTAGTATAGCCACTGTGAAGAAGAGTTTAGAGGTTCTTCAAAATCTAAAAATAGAGTCGTAGCAATATGTGATGTAGCAATCTGACTACTAGGCATGTACTCAAAAGAAATTAGTGGGCTGGGCACTGTGGCTCAGGCCTGTAATCTAAGCACTTTGGGAGGCCAAGCGGGTGGATCCCCTGAGGTCAGGAGTGCGAAACCAACCTGGCCAACATGGCAGAACCCCATCTCTACTAAAAATACAAAAAAATTAATGGCATGGTGGCATGCACCTGTAATTCCAGCTACTCGGGAGGCTGAGGCAGGAAGATTGCTTGAACTTGGGAGGTAGAGGTTGCAGTGAGTCAATATTTGCACCACTGCACTCCAGCCTTGGTAACAGAATGAGACTCCATCTTAAAAACAACAACAAAACAAAACAAAAAAACAGTGTATCTGAGCCTGGGCAACATGGTGAGACCCTATCTCTACACACACACACACACACACACACACACACACACACACACACACACA